AGGTTTCCGGTGCGATCTTGTATTTGTGCGCTAAACTTGAAACAATCAGAAAGTTAGCAGTATGAACGGTTATTGCTTTACAGATTAACATAGGCGTTCATATTGGCTTGTTTTTTGCATTTTCTTGCCTGAAGGGAGAAAAGGGGAGTACCGGCTGGGGCGGCAGCATCATGAGGCCACGTGAAATCTTAACTTGCAGTACGCATGTCAACCGTAAATTTTGTATAAAAGGAGCTTCCGGGAATCTTATGAATTAGCTAATGGATGTTGCTTAATTGGTGCTTTGCGAATAAATGATAATTTTCGAAATAAAATTTTCAAACCTTCGGAAAATAAAATTTTCAGATTTCGGCATCTAGTATTTTTAATGTTCATTTCAGATCAGAAATCAAATAGATACTGTGGAACAAAATGAATTTCGAATTCTAGTTGAAGCAACAGATTATGGCTTACCGAAGAGGTTATCATCAGCGACCTGGATCACTGTTGTTGTACTTGGGGACAGTAAAAGACTGCCTACTTTGAAAAAAATATATCATGCAACAGTGCACGAAGGTGCACAAGTTGGGCAAATTGTCACTCAGATTAGCAACGTAAGTTCTTCGGCAGCTGCCGTTTTTGGCGTAATGTTGAAGATACAAGAGGCGCTTTTTTCCATATATAATTATTATACAAATCAGCTTTTGGAAATATTGGGACGAAGATGTATTACTTATCATTGCTTCTCAGTGTCAAAAGTGCGTGTAAGAATCGCACAGTGTACGTCGTAGTGTCACAGCCAAAGATCCCACCTTATGCTTGAAAGGGTGCCGAAAGCAATATCGCTTATATTCTAGTAATCTTTCATATACTTCTCCTGGAGCCCGCTTTTTCTAGTAAGCCTCGCCATCACTAGCACTAATTATCAAAAGGTGCTCCAAAATCTGGATCTGAATTGGGGTTCTGAGCTGTGTTGAGGAAAGCCGACAAAGGGAAAGCTGCCGCAAAAAGTGTTTGCTGCTTATGAGAAGGCAAATAAGGATAGAGGAATATATAAATTTCTCCCAGACCGTTTCCTAAATACAGCACCGTATGTAACACAACGCGTCCGGATGTGAAGACGAGTGATTCGATTTATTTCCAGTTCATACTCATTTGCAAAAACGGACTTCATTTGCGATAAATTAGTATACCCAGTGCAGTTCATTGAGTAGTTAATTTCAGAAGTAAATAATAATTAACAGGAAATAGCTTTTTTACCGTTGCGTGAGACTGACTAGACCGGAAATACGTAGACTGAGGTATTAACTTTTCATGCACGAGCGGAAGAGGGCTGCTTATGCATATTAGCAACTGTGAGATCTAGTCATAATTAATTAAAGCGATTTCGAAAATTTTTCTTTTGTTCCAGGAAATGACTGGTGGTTTGTTTGGCATAGAATCAGGAGATCCAAAAAATCATTTCAAAATATCTCCCAGAAC